CTGGGGGGCCCGGAGGAGGAGGCGGGCGCCGTGCCCCCTGGCAGCCTGCCCGTCCGGAAGCTCTCATCGTCCTCTGCGTCTTCCACTGGCTTCTCCTCGTCCTGGGAGGAGTCTGAGGAGGACATCTCCAGCGACCCCGAGCGCACCCTGGACCAGACCCCCGCCTTCCTGCAGACCCTGGACCAGCAGAAACCCCGAGTGGTGAGTCCTGCAGCAGCCCTGGGCAGGGGGTGAAGGGTGGCGGCGTCCCTGCTCCAAGGCACGGCTGCAGCAGCAGGGCACGAGTCTGCTGCAGCAGAGTTCTGCAGAGAAACTTTACACTTGCTCAGTGGTGCTCGCTCTTCCTCACACGAAAAGCTTCCAGACTGGGAAGAGGGGTTCCTAGCCGGAAAATCCTCTCACAAGAGAGTAGTGGTACCTGTTCCATTGTGCACAGTCCTTGCAGAGCTTCCCTGGTGCTGCAAAGCTGCCTGCCAGCATGCTTAAAATACATCCATGGACTGCAGCCTTCTGCTGACATGTGGTTACGAGCCTCAGTTTTTCCTCAGCACAGCTTCCCTGGGTGCTGGAGGTTTCCCATGGTTTACATGAGCCTGAGGGAGAATTTGTTTCCTCCCTGGAGTTGAAACTGTGTGGGCCAACTGTCTGTTCAGGTTTACAGTGATGCCCATCACCACAATTTCACACAGAAGCAAAATGCTCTAGAAATTCTGGTAATTCCTCTTTTGAATAATACTTCTTGGTTGTGGGGTATCTTATATTTCAGGTAAGCATATTTTTATTAGGTATTTATATTAAGTTCATTTGTTTCAGGATCTTTGTTGTGGAGCTGGTTGTGAGACTTAAGGCGAGAGAAATCATCGCCTTAGTTGATTTGTGCTTCCCTTAGAGAAGAAAGGTCTCCTCAGAGAGGAGAGCTCTGAGGCATTCTCCAAAGGCATGAGACAGTCATGGGATTTGTTGTGTCACTAGGGGAGTTCATTGCATGTGTGAGTGCATCACACAGAGCCTGCTTTGCTCTGAGCTGTTACACCACTTGTCCAGAGGGCTTTGAACCACTTTAACCCAGAGCAGGGCACCCATCACGAGGCTCTCCCGCCAGCACATGGTCTCTGCTCCCATCCAGCTCTGAGACATTCCATTGATTTGAGCCCAGCACTGAAGCATCCCAGTGAATCCTTGAAACATACCGGACAACCCAGTGGCTCCTTAGTTTAAAGAGTTTAACAAAGGCTCATGAACTTTCAATGGTGTATTTCACTATGTTTAATTTCCTGTAGACCCATGGTGGTGAAACTCCTGCTAAATGCAATGACACAAGGAAAACTAGTGCAGGGAAACATCTAAGTGAAGGCATCAAACTTGGAAGAACTGAGACTGTGGTTTGTAAAACACTCAGCAGGCTGGAATAAGTATCTTTTCTTTTGCACTCCTTTTGTCCTATTCCAAGAATTCAGGCTTGGTTCCGCTCAGGATGGAGCAGCAGCTGAGTAAAAGCAGTTAGCAAAGTTATGAGCCTGTAGTTCATCGTGTTTGCAGACAGTTTTGTATTTTGGGGCTCTCAGCTGATGAATCAGCTTGTTCCCTTTGGGAGCTGCTACAATCCCTCTGCTGATTAAATTCTGCTGGTTTTATGTGCATGAGCTGTAGTAATCTCTGCTCCATTCTCTGCACTGATGACTGTTCCTGGTGCCAGATCCCACTGATCTGCTGCTGCAAACAGTTCATTGATGGGCAGAAGCATGCCTGATGCTCCTGTGGAAAGCTTCCTGGAGCCTCAGGCTGACTCTGCACCACCTCCCGTGGCCTCCCTGAGCTCAGCCAGGCCAATGGCTCAGCAGTGAACAGGCAAGGCTCATTTGTATTGCTAAAAGCTCTGCGTGAGAGAGAGCTCAGATCAGCTCTAACTGCTGGGCTCCATGGGGACTGCTCAGGCTAAAGGAGATGAAGATGTGGTCCAAAATGTGTCAGGCAGCCTAAGGAGGTGCACTTGATTTTGTGTTTCAGTGCTGGAGTCCCAGCAGGGGCAGCAAGGCTAATTTACAGTGATACTTTCCACTGGGCTCCACGGGTCCCATGCAGGGCTGATCACTGACTTTGGCAGGTTATAGTCAACTTCTCAGCAGGATCATGTGCAAATGCCCAGTAATTCAAAATTGATTTCGTATAAATAACACCCAGCTTTGTGTACTGGTTGGCAGCATCTTGTAAATCCATAACGCCAGCAGAAGGCAGCTACTGAGGCAGTGTCAGGTTGCACACTCATTTGTTTTCATGAACTCACTGTTTCCTTTCAACAACGCACACGGTCTGGAAATGAGTTGTGTAATGAGGGAGAATGTGTGAGAAGCTCTCTCCACAACTCGTGCTTTTAGTCAAATCCTGGGAGATCTCAACCCAGAGATACCAAGGTGCCTCTGGGTGGGTTGAGTAGATAAAGGCAGGGCAGGCAGAGAGCCCTGCTGGCACAGGAGAGCCTCCTGTTCTACCTGCAGGAGAGGTAATGAGGAGTGGCAGGAAAGCAGTTCCTGCTGCAGATACAGTCTGTGCTGCACATCTCACATAGCCTGTTTACAGATTTGATAAACAGCAGGCCTGCTCCTGCCCTTCCTTTCTGGAGGCTGTCTGCTTTAGCAAATCTGTTAGGGATGTCCGGCGGTGTGTTGTGGTTCCTCCTGACATCCCGGGGAAAGAGGCACATCCCTCCGGCTGGCATGGACTCGTCCTCCACTTGTGCTGCAGGTAGGAAACTTTGTTTGTGTTCAGGCCTGAAAACTGGCCAGTAAGAAAATCGTGTTGCCAAGTGCAAGGGAAGGAGGCATTGTGGCCACATTTTTGGGCGCTGTGACCCGGAGCAGCTCTGTGAGTGAAACGGGCTCTGTGTCTGTTTGTTGAAGCAGTTTGCTCAGGGCTGTCCCTGTCCCTGCACAGCACCAGGGGACAGTGACCCTGCCATGCTGGTTGCAGACTTGTCAAGTGCAGTGACAGTAAGAGCAAGGTGACGTTTTGCTGTTTAATTGCAAATCCACTTAAGGTCTGAGTAAACTTCCACGTAAGGGCTTTGCAGCTGTGGCTTTCCCCGGGCTGTGGGCTGCTGCCGGAGAAACCCCACGCTTGTTTGTTGATGGTTTCAGAGACACTCGAGCGATTGCACCTCTGGGGCTGTGTGGGAGGGACGGGCTGTCCGGGCAGCACCTTGGCATGGGGACACTGTGGTTTGGAAATCCCACAGGGGAGCACTCTGTGCACACCAACATGGGCAGTTTGGGTGAGGAGCTGACCTGAGGCCTTAGGAGATTTCGCACCTAAAACAAGATACCTTCTAGCTGTGACTCCCACTGACTTCTCGACTTTAAAAATAGCAGAGTGTGAGCTTTGCCATTCTGGGGGCTCTGTTGGCTCTTCCCAAGGATGTACTCTGCAGCAGGAGACTTGTCCCACTCTTGCAGCTTGGCTGCGCCCCTTCAGCAAAAGCCGTTCCAAAGCTGGTCATTAGTGAGTCCTTGTCATTGACCTAAATTCCCCAGTTTGTCAGCTTCTCCAAAAGTGGAGACAAAGCAACAGACAAGTGGGGGGAAAGGCAGGAGCTGTGCAAGCAAGCACGTACTATAGAAAAATAATGGCATGTTGGGGGGGAAGGAACCCCTTCCTGGAAAATCAGTGCAAGACACTGGAGCGTTCCTCTTCCTGGCTTTCCCACAGCTGCTGTGGAAGCACAAGGATGTACAGCAGAATAGTAATCAAGGGACTTGGTGCTCTGTGAAACTTCTGCTCCCTTCAGCAGGCTGAGTAGATTTCTCAGAATAAGAGACTTCCATTAACCTGTGCGAGATGGCAAGGACTTTTGGAAAAACCTAACAGCACTGCTGATGACAGGCATTCTTTTAATTGATTTATTTGTTTGACTCACAATGGCTGTTAATGCAGTCCTGAAAGCAGCCAAGTTTAGATAGGGTTAGTGTCAGCCAAGGGCCTCTGGGACCTTTGCTTATTTCTCTTTGAGATGATCCAAGGCATAAGCTGACAACAGGAGTCCTGATTTGTTCCTATAAAAATCAATCAAATTAAATGTGCTTTCATTCCCTTTCCAAGCTGTCTCTGTGATCAGGAAGTCTCCCCGTAACAGAAACCATGACCACATGGCTATGGTGATACATGCAAGCCCTGTGAATATATATCTTTATGCCAAGTGTGTTTATGTGTTTCACTCCTTACTCCCACTGTGTTTGTCTTAAAAGCTCCTGAGCTTATGAGCCTGTGAGTGGTATCTCTGATTTAGTATCAATATAATGCCTGTGAGTGGTATCTCTGATTTAGTATCAATGCCTGGTGTGTTAGAGCCCTGCTGGCTCACTCAGAAGAGTGACTGTTCTTTTAGCAGTGCACATCATTGAAAGGGAAGATGCTCAGCACACCTGGTAAGGGATGGAGTCTCCCTGCTGCAGGAAGAGCAGCGGGGAGAGGGGAATGAGGTGGGCAGGTGTGTGTTTCCCCTTTCAGAGCAGCAGGCTCAGCAGGCCTGGCAGCACGGTGTGTTCTGGGATGGAATGGGGACACCCCGCTGCTCACCGGGCTGGGCAGAGCTTCAGGCTCTTTGTGGATATGGAGCCTGTGCACCCAGGGACTCCACAAAGCACCACTCCCTATTCCACAGCTAATCCTCTACCTGCTCATGTCACCTGCTCAGGGAATAAGCAGCTTTTTATGGGCTCCCACCCACGGAGGCCAAGGGAAGATGCTGCCATAACCCAGTGAGAGACATATGGTGCTGCTTCAAGTCTGTTTTCATCAGCACTTTTAGGCTCATTGGGAAAGGTTTCTTCTCTATGCACATTCTCCATGATTGACAGGGCAGGAATTGCATGGCACATAGCAGATCCTTTTCATAGAGGAGCTCACTTGCTAGCACAGCTGCTGTCTCTTGCATATTTTTTTATTTTGTTTCTCGAAAAAAAAATTCATGCTGAAAGCGTCCATGAAAGTAGCAAAATAAACCTCCCCCCGTACTTCTGAGGTGCAGGAAGCACAAACATCAGGCCCATCATCCTTAGGGTCCCCAGCTCTGGAAGGAGCCAGATTTCCTCCTCTTCTGTTGGGAATTGCAGGATGCCAGGAGCTTGCCTGTTTGGATCCTTTGGATGGAAAACTGAACGTCCGCAGAGAGAATTTCATGGATCAGTGGAAACTTCAGAGTTTTGTCT